ATTGGTCAACTCAGCCAACATGGCACGTGGTACCAGGGATTGAACCTGGGTCCTTGCACTTGCCAGGCAGGTGCTTAGACTGCCCAGTAAAGAGGTAGAGGTTTATTTCAGTTCATGATGTTACAGGGTTCAGTGCATAGTTGGCTGGCTCTAAGGCAGAAAACATGGGTTTGGGGGTAGCATAGGAAAGGGTGCTCACCTCTCAGTCAGTATCCAGGAAGCAGGGAAAAGAAAGAACATGGGACAAGAACACATTCTTTCAGGTGGTGCCCCCAGTGACCCACATTGAGCCAGGACCCACCTTCTGACAGCACCATCACCTATGAGCTCATTAATGGACTTACTCACACATAACTCCTTAATGATGCAATCATTTTCCAAAAGCCTTATCTGTGAACACATGACTTTGGAGGAATGTTTCAGAATTAAATCATAGAAGAAAAGAACTGGAGAAGTGGACTAGGGAGCTTTGGATGCTGTAAGAAGAGCTTGATGGTTGGTTTGGGTCAATAATAGAAATATGGAAAGTAAAGGCCAATCTTGCAGCATTTCGGTTGGGAACGATAACTGTATTGGGAATTGAAGCAGAGGCTGTTCGTGTTACATATGGCGAAGAGTACACCATTGAATCTCTCTAACACTGAGTTAAAAGACAGCATGCTAATTCATCTGAAGGAGGAAATTTCAAGATAGTCCAGTGTTCAGGTTCTGGTGCAGATATTGCTGGTTGTTTTTAGTAAAAATCATACTAAGACTTGAGAATAAAAAGCAGGAAGATTTAAATTTTTTCTGACTTTCCAGAAAAGATGCATGTGTCTAGTTGGAGCCAAGGGAGGTGTGGTTGCTAAAGAGATTAGTGACACCCTAAACAGAAATCAAGTATTTTGAACTGAAACCAGAAGAAAAATTCTTTGAACAGAAATCAAGTATTTTGAAGTTGAAACAGAAGAAAGATTCTCAGAAATTAGCAAGACCCCACCTTCTCAAGAATGCAAAGGTATAAATCTATCACTTGAGAAGAGGGACAGAAACCTGGACCCCCTGATTAAAAAGGCTTCTTAGGAAATTGGCTCCCTAGAGTTCATGTCACCCTGGTCAACCATCAGAGGCTCCCATAGCCAGTGTTCCAGGGTGGTCTGGTGACTGCACTCATGGACAGCTGACTTTGAGATCAGTCACACGATACTGACTTTATAGGTGTGCAGATTGCTGGAGTTATGTAGAGTCAGAGAATGGAGGTTTTTACCCAGTTGTGAAAGGAAAGCCTGGGGCTACAGGCAATGTATGACATAGCTGTTAAGATTCCTACCTAGAGCTCTTGATAGGGCAATACATAAAGCTATGAGCAAAGCCAAAGCTGTAAAGAAGAACTCAGAAAATTGGAGATGCCAGAAACATGTGACATTTGCCAAAGAAAGCTTCAGAAAATAAGTAAAGCAAGCTCTCAAACAGAGGCTGTGTGGGCTGCATCCAGAAGTGCCACAAAAGGGGTGCCACCCAAAGTGTTTGCAGCTCATGTTACACCACATGTGTCCTTGGTACCACACATGAAATACAGGATTTAATGCTTGTCCTGCTGAGTTTAGGTCTGTTTTGGTACAATTATTCTTCCCTTTTGGAATTGGAACATGTACCTTGTGTCTTTGTATTTGAAAATTATTTTCATTACTTTGTAAAAATTTCATAGGAGCTCATTGGTAAGAGTTTTCCAGAGTCTCAGAGGGGACTTTGGTCTGCAATTTTTGAGCCATGGTGGAACTGTTGAGATGCCGGACGAAGGATTTGAGTTTTCAGTGGTTCCCAGGATAGTTACATCAATGTAGGTGAATTATGACCTTGTTATTGTGTTCGTTTTGATACTTAATATGGTTTAAGGAAATCTGACTAGTTGTCAGGTTGAAAAAGGCTGGGCTTTGGCAGCTAAGCTTGGTTGTCAGTGTGATCTAAGACTCCGGAATAGATTAGGGTGTGAGTGTGTTTGAACCTCTGCAGCAGGCTCACCCGTTAATGAGTTGGTGGCTGAATGGACTACGAAGGGGTGTTGCGGTTAAGGTTTGCAAGGAAACATACTTAGCACAGGACAAGCAATTCACAGGATTATTTAATAATACTCACCCAAAAAGTCAAATTCAGAAGAGTGTAAGAAACATGTCCACATACTCGAGACCCCGAAAATCCAGCTGAGAGCCTGCATCCCACAGAATGTCCTATACAAGTCCAGCTCGAAACCTGGAGTCACAGCAATGTCTTATACAACTTGGTATCAAGGATCTGCACTGGGAAGACCCAAAGGTCATTGGTGGAAGCTAGAAAGTCTGCACTAGCTTGATGAAGGATCTGTACCAGCAGGCTGACTGATCTACACTAGAGCCAGGAAGTGAAGCTCAAAATAAGGGCCAGAGCTCTCCTGAAGACAGCCAATCCATCCTCAGCGGGAGCAAGAACCTGAGCTCCTCTAACAATGAGAACAGCTGAGCTTATATAAGGAAAACCAGGATGACAGGATTCCCCAGGAGCATCCCCAGCACCTCACCTTCCCCTTCCAGTTCTTTTCTGTGTTGGGAATAATCTTCTTATGAGTCTTCTACGTGCAGCACCACACCAATTCATTTCAGCTGGCTGCTGCAGATTGACCCTTAGTTAATCCACCACCTGGAGTGAGCCTTTGTTGGAGTCATGGAGCTGTCACCTTGAGGACTCTGCCTGGCTCCTTGCCCTTCCTGTTGGGGTTTCCACTGCACTTTTCTTCCCATCCAGCAGGAGTGGAGCAGCTTCCTTCCACCTCATCCTTCCTCTATGACGTTCCTGCTTTGGCGCCAATCAACCATGCACCAGAGGGAGAGGAAAGTAAACCTGGGCTCCTTGGAGTTACGGGCCTTGGATATTTTATCCAATCAAGTGGAAAGCTGGACAATGCAATAATGCTTTATTTTTGAAATGTTTCACTTTGTTATCACTAACTGGCTTTTTTAAATGCAGTTCTCAAATCTAGTTTTCTTGGTTTGTTTCTTTGTTGCAGCTGTCTTTTGCTTTATTTTTGAAATGATCATTTTTGATGACCTCTTATTTGTGATCCTAGTTCAGTCCACCTCAAATACATCTTTTGACTGTTTTTGGTAGACAAATATTAACACATAGGGACCCAGAGGATTTGTGCAAAGAAGGTGCATTATCTAATAAGTACCATTAATTTAGGTTCTCTTGCATTATATGAATTCTCTTTAATATCATAAATGCTACCTCTACACATTTTCTGACAGAAGTGGAAATAGGTTTTTCTCTGTTTGAAAAGTTCACTTTAAAGGTTTTTGTGATGCATGACAGCTTTAAAGTAGAGCTGCTGTTTCAGAGTGCATTGCCTGAGGCTGCTCTTCGAGGTTGCTTTTCTCTGAGCCCATCCGTCCTGTTTAGAAATAAAAAACAGTGCATATTTATATCTCTGATGGGCCAATAAATAAAATGCTGCATTTTTCCAGGGGAAGATTCCTGGGAACTAATTACAGTCAGATGCAGAGACAGACATAAGATTGAAAATCCAGTGTTGCCTTTTAGACTGCTGTGATGAGTCTGTTTTAGCATTTCTCTGCATTTATGAATGCAAAAGCAGGTAGCACATTCTTCACAATCTGGAAATACTCAGGAAATGAATGTGGATCTGGTGTGGTTGTCTTCAGGCATTAGCTCTTGTCTCTTTTCCTCCACAGCTTGCTGAAAGCAAATCTTAACCAAGGTAAATTCAGCGTATTGGACAGAGACCGTGCCTTTATGTTCAAGGAAATTAAAGCTATTCAGGCATGCACCTGCTCCAAACTAGAAGCACACCTAGGGTGCCATTTCCACTGGAAATCTGCAGGCTTTTTTGACATCAACATAGCTAATCACTTGTTCACTGGTTTAAAGTGGCTGTCGTATCATAGAAAATCTAAAAAAATGACTTTAATGTGTAAGGTTTGTGTCCAAGCACAGCAGGTGGAGTTGTAAAATTGTGTACGTAATAATGACATTGTTGGTATTCATTGGACTGCCTAAAATTCAACTGTTTAATCATAAATGGTTAGTGAATTGTTTAAAAATATAATTATACATAATGCAAATACAATAAACTATTATTTCTAAATTTGCTATAGCCACATAATTTTTATTTAGATATTGAACGCAGATTTTTGACTTAATCTTAATAAAGTAGAGTTCAGTGGGACTATTAAACTTTAGTTTTAATCTCAAGCTCTTGAGTCCAAAGTAAAGCAAGCTACATTTTGAAAATGTATGCAGTAGCTTTCATTACCAGTAGTCTAACAAAAGGGAAAAGAGCCAAATATAGTAAGTTTTTCACAAATGAAGACAAAGGTAAGAATTTTTGTTGTTATTTTGTTTTGTTTCCAAATGATACTAATTTTCATATTGCAATTTGAAGATATTGGTTATTTTCCTAAATAGTTTATCATAAGTAAATCGCTTTTATAAGTACAATGATAAAACAGATTAGTAGGACAGTTACAATAATTAATGCATTGCATATTGCTATCCTACTAACCTGTTTTGATACTGTTTCAGTGCTATTTTATTTTCACATTAAAATAAATAATTTTTTTAAAAACTAAAAAATTATAAATTTGAGTCATATTTTCCTGAATTTTTTACTGTAAAAATGATTTAAAGTGTATATCTATGGCTCTCCAGATAAGCTTATGATCAATTTATTTTTGAAGTAATAACATTCTGTATTATTTGAATGTGTTTTCTGAGAAAATATAACATCTGAAATAGGTACTACAATTCCAGGTTTAAGAGTTGGGGTGTTTCTCAATAGCAAAACGCTTGTGCAGATTGGCTCTAGTTTTGATCCTCAGCAAGACAACTATAAATAAATCATCAATCTAGTCATGGTATTCTCCACAGAGAGATTGTAATTGTTCATTCAGTCTTGTCCAGCTGTAAGATTAACACGGTATAAAGATACTTGGGCTAGTTGCTAATGAACCCTCTTTGCGTGGTTGCAGATCTCAGCACTGGAGAGGCAGATTTTTGACTTCCTTGGCTTCCAATGGGCACCGATTCTTGGGAATTTTCTACATATAATTGTGGTCATATTGGGTTTGTTTGGAACCATTCAGTACAGACCACGATACATCATGGTGGTAAGTCTAAGTTTTATTTCCTTTCTTCATATAAGCAGTACTAAATTCTTCATGAAACCATGGAATCAATCTCCAGTATCAAATAAATAAATAAATAAATTTAAGCAGTAAAAAAGTGATCTTTTTTACCACTTTGATATGAAATGTCAGAATTTTCAGATGGAGTAGAAAAACGTAAGACAAGAGATAATAAGTCCTGTAGCTATGAATTCTGAAGCCCTCTTATTGTGTGGTTAGAACAGCATCTGTTGTTAGTTTGAATGTATCTGTAGACAAAGGGTACATTAAACTTTTGTCTCCGTGGCTTCCTCTGGCCTACGTGGAACCCAGGAATGCTGTCACCTTTGCCACAGGAAAACTCCTGACATGAAAATGAAATGCAGGAGGCATTCATTCTGACATGAAAATGAAATGCAGGAGGCATTCATTCTGACATGAAAATGAAATGCAGGAGGCATTCATTCTCAGTGCACCATGGTAGTAATACATCCTCAGTGAAAGCTGTGCTAACAGCGGACGGCAAACCTATCTGGCATAATTGTTTCATCACTGAAACAAAGATATAATTTAGCTCTAATTAACTACAGACATTACAAATGCATGTAGTGATGGATATTTATCGCATGTCCCTAATATATTTCATACTATTGGCTATTGAATGTTTTTCCACTTTGTTAAGATAAATTTGACTCATAAATCCATATGCAAAGCTATATCAAACATGGTCATCACATAGTTCATTGTAGCACAGTTTACTGAGGTCTGTGTTATAATATACAGTCTAGTGAAAACAATTCGCAAGTTGTCTTTTCTATAAAAACAAGACAGCTTGTATTCCCAGCACTCTGTCAGATAGAGGCAGGAGCAGCACAAGTTCAAATCTTATCTGGAAATTTAGCAACTTAACAGTTGCTTGTGTCCAAAATTAAAGCAAACAAATAAATAAACAAACTGCCAGGAATTTAACTCAGTCTGAGGACTGTGTAGGGTTCAAACAGAGAGAGAAGGGAGGGAGGGAGGGAGGAGAGAGAGAGAGAGAGAGAGAGAGAGAGAGAGAGAGAGAGAGAGAGAGAGGCATTACAGGTTACTCATGTAGGAAGATTATGAGAAATAATGAGTAATAATATAAGTAAATATAAAGAGCTATATAAAGTGCTTACCAAGCAAGAATTAAACATATGGTATTCAGTAAAATTTCTATTCTTTTTCAATGCAGTGACACTGTCACACTAGGAAAAAAATGGCTTACCATTATGGCTTCTGTACTTAATCAATTGGCTTTCTGTTTGTTTGTTTTGTTTTTCTGTATTTTAGGGAAGGGTCTACAGGGTGTTCAGGGTCTCACTTCTAGATTGGACTCATAGTGTTTCCTCCTGTTTACAGCCTCCTAAGAGCTGGGATTACAGGCGCGCGCCACCACGCCCAGTCTCACTTGCTGTCTCAGTGCACCCCAGGGGCGGGGCCAGCATGGTGGGCCCCGGGATCGAACCCCTTGCCGCTGCGCCTCCTTGTGGTGCTTTAATCCACTGAGATACTTGGCCAGCCCTAACTGTTGAAAAGACATAGTTGTATTTTTTCTAACATGCACCAGTACTCTACTTTGAATCGCAAATATGGTGTTTTGACTTCTTTTATGATGTCACAAAGGTAACAATTTCAGCCTTCAATATGGTGCCAAGAGTTTGATGTCCCTCAGTTTGCTATAGAGCCAAACAACTTTCACTTTCCTATCCTGTTAGAAATAGCTTCTGCCAAGCAGCTGTGTCATCTACCAGAAAGATAGTTCCTAGCCTTAGCCTTGCAGCATGAGATGCTTTAATGCCACACATAATACTGAAACTATTACTGGATTCTATGTTGTCACTTGTTACTGTAAATATGGAGACATCTTTAAAACATTTTTGTCTTATGCTGTTGGTGTGGTGCTAAGGCCCCAAGTTCCAGGTGACTGTGAGACCAGTGGCTTCTTTTAATGAGGTTGGATGTGTGCACTAGAGACCAACTAGTCGTATTGCTTTTGACCTCCAACTACTACCATTATACACTGTTCATATGCCTACTGCCTTGGTTAAGGTGTTTGCCTTCATTCTCCTACATGTAGATATCCTGCTTGCTTTTGGTCTCTCTCCCTTCCAGTGAATTTTCCTAAATCATGGCTGAAAGCTTTACACCGGCACTTTGCTAAAATAAGATCTAAGATCTAGCCTAATGTATCTATGTCTCACAAATCTTTCCTTTCTTTTCCTTTTGTTCTTTTGCTTCCTCATTTATTTTCCACCTTTATTACAACATCTTTATGGATTGATCCACTGAAAAGATATCACTTTGGTGCCTAAGATGCATTTGGCATCGTGTGCAGTGGCGAGTACTATGGCGAGCGGACACACAATCACCTTCCTGGTTGCTCACTTCATCACTTCATGAGGTTAGGTGAGCCTTTAGCAAATTATGACTCCAGCTATGTGAAATTAAAGCTATGGTAGGCAATATTAAGACTACATTGTACCTGCAATGTCTACCGGGGAGTCCTGCCCTCGCAGGTGACAGGGCAGTGTCCTGCATAAATGCTTGGGTGTTGAAATCTGCACATCATATGAGCAAGCATGAGTTCATGGGGAAGAAGAGGATGAGGGGCACTCTGGGAATGAAGCATAACAGAGCAAACAGAAGTTCAGTGCAGTGGCTGCCCTTCAGGCACTGAACATCCCTGAAGAGCACACTGAACTGGGGTTGGCAGTTAGGAAAGAATACAACTTACTAAGTCTGTGCTCTCCAGAAGCCCCTTGTATAAGTAGGAGAAAGGAAGATCAGGGTTTGCGATGCTTCGGAGGTTCTTCTGTAGCAGTGCAAATGCAAGACAGGAAAAATGGGCAGTGGGGGCTTGAAAGGGCTCAGAGTTTGAACACTTCTACTTATGTGCCCGCTACACCCACCTGCCTTTCTAGCCTCTTGCCATCATGGTCTTGGCCACAATTTTTGCCCTGGGCCTGTCCACATTTCCTCAGTCCCTCATGCATACATCTTTCCATGTACTTAATAATTAATCACCTTGTGCTCCTTCCCCTTTGTGTCTGGAGCTTGTTTTACAGTTTGCTTATAGTCAAGTCTTCTCTGCTAGATGAAGAGCTTCTGGGGAACATGGACTGTAATTGGTGGTCTATCCATGTTTATTCATTACTTGCCATTCTAATCCTTATCTTTCCACAGGGTAACATGGAGTCCAACCATGATCAAGTTGCAATCAATTCTCTCTCTCTCTCTCTCTCTCTCTCTCTCTCTCTCTCTCTCTCTCCCCCCAACCCCCACTGCCCCAGAACCATTTCCTTTGCTTCCCTAATTCTCTTTTTATCTCATGTGTGCAAATAAAACTTGCTTTAAGACTTTCAGAATCTTCAAAGGAAAAGTTACGAGATAAACAATTCTTAGTTTTGCTCACTTGATATTCTCTTCTAGTATGTTAGGCCAACAAAATCTTTATCATGTAATTTATGTCATTATTGATTCCCCTCTAGCAGGGGAGGAGAAAGAAAGTTATGAATTTGTTGGAAAATCCTCCATGACAAGCATTTCACTTGATTTCATCTTCCCAAGTATCCTTTGAATCTATATTTCACATCCATAACTTTGCAGTTCAGTTTAGAAGTTATAAAGGTTAAGCAACCTGCCCAGGAAGCACTAGTAAGCAGAACCGGATGTGTGCTGATGGTACTTGTCTTATCAAGGTTCTTGAATTTGCTTTATCATGGTAAGTTGACTATGTTTTCATCAACAGACCCCAGATGATATGCTGCAATTCTCTGTATGTTTTGATGTTAAAAATAACACTGACTCTTTCCTCAGCCAATCATAGAAGAGGTGGGAGTCCAGAATGCTTATTATTCTAACATGGCTGTATATTGTGTATCTAGGAAAACGTACACTAAAGAATCAGTGATCTACACATGTAGGAAATCAGTTGTAAAGATTTCATTTTATAGCAAGAACATGTTGCTATTTATGAAGGTAATTACAGTTTTATTTATTTATTTTCTTTCACTACAGGCAACGTTCCCTGTATCACTTTTGTGAAGACTACTTTCACAGTAAACTAGTTTACACAGCATTCACTATTATGATTGTCCTGGAGTTAATTCTATTACTGTATTTTTTTAAAAACCTGAAAATAATGTGTCACATGTCACATTAATCAAGGTGCATCTTGAGGTACCAACTTTTCAGTGGCAGTGAGAGGAGATCTGGATTAGAAATCTTTACAGACTATTCCCTGGGCAGGAAAAGAGCTTTTTATTACAGGAGATTTTCTTTCAAAATAATTTTTGCTGTTCTTACTGTTGGTCTCCCTTTTTGGCTGAAAATATCACCAAAGCATACCAATTAAATTTAGTCCATTTCAAACCCACATTTTGGAGCACCATCTATGTGTTAGTGCTCACCCAGAGATTAATAAAATATTGCATCTGTCATTAAAACAATTTAATGTACTTCACAGTCTAGTTTTGCAAAGATACATGCAGTAAGTGACTGCCATTTCTGAGAAAAGGTAGTTTGTCACATAGGAATTTGAATTAATCACTTATGAAAATGAGTTAGGAAAAGAACCACAAAAGCCAAGCACAGTGGTACCTGTAGGCAGCCTGCTAACCCACTCTTAGGGAAAACCAAAGCTGAGGAGCAGCATCCCTTCCTCCCCTAGCCCCACCCTGCCTGTGCTCCCCACTGGTGACCTCATGCCGCCAAGCTGAAAAATTTGCCTCTTGCTCTTTTTGTCTTCTCTCTTCTCACATACTGTGTCTTCTGCCTGGAACATCTTCATCTCTTTATTTTCCTGGAGGGCTCATCATCTTTCAACTAAATTGTCACTTGTTAAAAGCCTTACTTGATCTCTGCATTTGGGGCTCAGCACCTCAGCCAAAGCTGCTGGCCACCCTGGTAGCAATCTAGCTCTTCCTCCACCCAGTAGCACTGCCTTTCTGCCTGCGTGTTTCTCGAAGGCAGGAATG